CCCGAGCCCCTGGGATTGATTGCCTACCTTCCGGGGGCCCGGAAATGGTCCAGTGTACCTAAAACTAGGTAGATGTACGCCAGACCACGTCTCGCGTAACAGGCTTCGCGATATCTCACGAAACACTGTTACGCTACGACGCGCCTGGCATACATCTACCTAGGCCTGCGGCGCTGACACCCGAATCGGGCAAAGGAAAGAGTCGTGATAGGCCTTCGGCCCCAAAAGTCACAATTATTGCTCCCCAGGGTTTTATTTTGACGAGTTGACCCTTCAGAGACCATGAAATATTTGAGAAAAAACATTGAAATGGTTTTGGGTCATTTTCGTGTGGAAAACAGTGTCTGGTGCCTCAACGGTTAGAGATAGAGCCAAACGGACGAAATTTTCGCCCAAAGGGCTCTTTTTTGATGAGTTACCCCTGAGGAACCATTAAAAAAATATTTTTCAAAAACGCCATTTTGGGGACCTGTGGTTTTTGATTTTTTAAAAATCCATTTTTTGAGCTAGAATGCTCTACTTCGGACCTGATCTGTCTTTTTATGATACAAAACGACCCTGAAAATCCCAGGTCGGTAGCTCAATTTGTTCTCGAGTTATCGTGATGACAGACAGACACACAGACAGACAGACAGACGCGAAACTTTTTGATCATCACTGGAGTAATAGGCTTCGCTATCGCTCAGCCAATGAGTCGTTTTTCGGGGTTAGCCGGGCTCCATAATCAGCTGAGAGCTCCTCCGGAGGCCTTTTCTGGTCGGGATGTGTTGGTACCCCATGGGAACAGAATGGGCTATCTACGTGGACTCAACGTGTACTACGTAGATACATACACGAATATCTATCCCTTTAGCCTCAAGGTGGATTCAACGTAGAACTCGAGTGGACTGAACTATGGAGATTATTCACCGTGCAGTCCACGTCGATTTGTTACTTGCCACTGTAGCCTCAAAAATAAGTAAAGCCCAGAAAAACTAAATTCAAGTTATTGTTAACCGCTCCGGCAAGCCAGGTGGTAGGTTGGGAGGGTACGCTTTGACTTTAAAGTCCTCGAAAGAAATATGGGCGCCAGGTGACAAGTCACCGTCAAAGGAAAAGGCTACTAGTAGGTCTTATATGGTTTAACAATAACAAGTGGCTTTAATGATCAATAGCAACAAGCAACAATATCACAGGGGCACAATAGCACTGAGAAGCGAACTCAAAATCACAAGTTCAAGACAACTAAAACTAAGAACAATAAGTCCTAATCACTCAAAGAGGATAGAGGCAGACAGCCACACAAATATTCACATTAAAAGACAGAGGACCCGCCTCTAACTAGAGCAAACTCGCTCCATAGAAACTCAATTAAAACACGGCTCTAAATCACAGCCGAACACTCAATTAATAGAACAATAAAGTTCCAACTCAAACTCTCTCAATCTCAACTCAATGTAAATGGTTCAAATGCAAACCAACATTATCAAAATAGTTCTAGCAAAACTAGAGAATTCAGAACATTAATAACTAAGTTAGAAGATCATAACGATCCAAGCAGAACCCACATCGGTTCTATAAAATACTGCAGTAAAACAGACTAGTCGCAGCATACAAACAAAAATACATGAATGCAGGGAAATAATCTTGACGCATGATGTACAGCAGTAAGCCTCAAGAAATCACCGTAACGGGAAAGAATGGCAAAGCCAAACAAATCATGAACACATGGAAACATAACCATGAAACACATGTGGAGGTTAAAATATAACCTAGAACCCTGCAACAAGAGACAAACACGGACACTCAGTATACCGGACATTGACCAGGAATTAAATCAGTTCTTTTGAGGCATAATATCAACTCACCGATATGGTGTAAAATAATCACTGGGATCCATTCAGGCATCACAACAGTGGACATCGGGTTCATCACAAACAGTTCCTAAAATGCGACATTCCCATCAATAAATCTCTTCATAAATAATAAATCTCAAGATCAATCCTTCACTAACTCACCAGAGCATTATAGAATGTGAACCAGCACAAATAAAAGATAGGCTCGGAACATCAAAATAAAACCACCAACTCTTCTCCAGATAAAATATCCATGCTATAAAGCAATAAAATCCATCCCGGACGATCTCAACTCAAACCAAAATCAAGATGATTGAGGATAACTAATTGCACTCCTGCACTCACGTCATTCTCACGGAATAGCTAACCGGAAACTAACTCTCCGCTCTCTGTCCTCTCCAGAACGTTCCCGTGGCTGAGTGCGCCAAAAGGACCAGTATGGCAAACTGTCATGGCCGCTTAGCGCGCCAATCTCCAATATGAGAAACAGACATGGCGGCACTCCGCGCCAAATTCAAATGATATGAGAAACGTCACGAGGAGGGAAGGGTGGGAAATTCGAAGTCGAGCGCACCAGCGCGAAGCTTAAATCTGAACCGTTAGGCGCCTCAATTTAAAAAACCAACGGTCACCTTAGACTACGGACAGAGATAAAATAAAATGGAAGGAAAAACCAACCAGTAACGAAAGTGATCGTTACACCACTTCCTCTCGATGATCATACATCTGATCCACGTAGACGTCAACTAGACGGTTTTTAGCGATGCGAAAAATGTCGTTTCCACGTAGATGTATTGTTCTTTTGTCAATGTCTATTCGTCTACGAGATATGTACATAGATCAACGTATGATGTGACCTACATTGATGCGTCAACTTCACATCTCTTCTTCATTTTTGTTGATCTAGGAATGTGGGCGAAGAGAGGCTCTGTCGATATCGACGCAACGTTCACTAATCTTTATGGTCTTGTACATCTGTCATCAATATATATGTTTCCGAACATGGTCCTTTCGCATAGCATTCACATAGTGTTCTCATCAGGTTTGAAACTGATGATGTCCAATAACTTGGTTCCTACTCTGGTCCAGACATTTTGAATTTTGCACTCGTAGAATCTATGTGGATGCAACGTGGTTGAGATAGACAGATCCTTCTGGATAGAGATAGGTTTCAGTCGACTTCTTCGCTAAGTTGTCACGGTGGCGTCGTGGTTAGAGGCGTCAACTACGGAGCAGCAGGTCCCAGGTTCAACTCCCGGTAAGGTATCAATCGAGTTTTCATTAGAAGTTGTTGTAATGAAGTATTCAGAGGGTCTCCTCTAACCAAAGAAGTACAAACAGAATTAAATCCTTAAAAAAGTAAATAAAATTTTAACTGGCGCCAAACTACTAAAATTATTTTTGCTGTTACGGGGATGCCAGAATCATTCTACGTCGAAACAGCGTGTAGGGGCGGACTGATCAATGTTGGTTTTACGTGAAATCTACTACCGTTTGGCACTGGATGATCGACTCGATCATCCACGTCGTGTCGAGGTGGTTCGACCACGTCTCCGCTATGTGGATTCGATATGGGTGTTCCCATGGGGTAGAGTGCACGCCTACGCTGGGGAACTGCGGCTGGCATATTTAGAGGGGCTGCCTATCTTTCATGGGCAGATAATGCAATTCGAAAAGGACTAAACAGTGATAATGACGTCAAAACCACCC